ACTAGGGAGTGGGGAGGAGGGAAAGGATGGAAGGGAAAAGAAAAAGAAAAAAAGAAAAAATGGAAACAAAGCTTTTATAAATAAAGAAGGGAAGGTTGAAGGGAAGGGAGGGGAATGGAAGAAAAAATAAAATCAAGATATATCACGGGTAGTTACAAATTCCCTACGATGAATGTGGTCATTATCTATATCTAACATGTACCAATTAATTTAAAAAGATGGCATATATTTTAATTTTATTTTTCTCTATTAGTGGTGTATTTCTGTATTTGATCTGAGTGATTTAATTTTTGTTTTTCTTTAGACCACTGGAACATTTGTGTTTTAATTTCTGAATATATTTCAGAAATACATTTCTGAAAAGATAACTCATTTACATAGAAACCAGATACACACTTGTATCTCTGTTAAGGATCAAGTATTATGCAGATGGTATACTAGATTATTTACTTCACCTCAAATTTAATTCCAATTTGATATTAACTTTAAGAGCTGAGAACACTAATGTGGTTTAATTAAATGGAAACTGAAATAAACAGCTATTTTATACTAAATATTTCAAAGTTTCTTCTATTGAGTATTTTGTAGTGGGTATATACACTACTATAATGTTTCTCAGGAAAAACTATAAGTTTGAAAATGTATTAAAATAATTTTTCATGAGATAACCTTACTTTCAATGAAAGTAACTGGACCTTTGAGTCAGTTTTTAGTTTGCCAGTCACTTTGCTTCCAACCAAAAATGGAACTTTATGTGACAGCCAGTTATTAGAACTAGTAGATGATACTGGTTATGCAAAAAGAAATTTTGCCTAATGTGTATCATAAAATACCTTTAGTTATAATTTACATTTTCAGGTTACTTTAAAGAAGAAAGTCATACAGACATTTGAATATACATCATCTGCATTTCAGTTTAAATGATATTTAAAGCCAAGATAATTGTTACTTACTGCGTTGTGTATTTCTTCTTTAAGAATGAATAGCAATCTTAATTAGGCTAATTTTAGTCAGATTAATACTTGTGTGTGTCAGCTCTACTAAATGCTGCATGCTGCAGGATTTTAATTATTGCTAAGGAAAGAAATGCTTACGGTGTAAACATTTTTGAACTGGAAAAGGCCAAAATGAAATATGACCAATTATAATGGAGGATAAATCACAATGATATCACTAATTGTATATTTTTAAGGAATTAAGGTTGACTTTTAAATGGGTAAATTTACACAAATGTAATGTTAGGAAAATATAATCTGGACAAAATATGCAGAGTAGATCAAGTCTGCCTTTAACAGTCCTAAAATGTTTAGCGGTGTTCATTTGGTGGGGGGTTAAAAATAGGTAATCCTCTGATGTGCTCATTTCATTAGATAATGAACTCAAGAATGTCATAGCTTCAATCACTGTGTTCTTTTTCACTGCACTGTTTATGAGTTAGATAAAGAAAATAGGTTTTATTTTTCTTTTATGACATTTCTGGTTTGACCAACTAGGTGAGATTTCCCCACTGCTTAGGCTCGGTTTGGGCTGTAAGCTTGCGTGTCAAACATTAGTGATTGGCAATGTCTTGACCATCTCTGAAGAGGTGACAGTCCCTGGAATGAGGGTGACTAAATATGGGAGGATGTGAGAGAGATAAGGAGGGGCTCCCCATTGTGTGGGCAAAAAGAGCTTTAAATTCACATCATAGTGCTCATCAGAAATAGTAGTAATCATTTCAAATTAACACTGGTAATTTAACTTCCGCAGTGCCTTAGCTATGAATAGCTGGTGGATAGGATGACGGTAACAACGATGGTAGTAATAATAGCAATGATAATATGATGGCCTTAAAATTAGAACAACTGAGTTCAAATGACACTACTTTTTGACTCTTGGTTTATTAAATAATGGTTTACCATGAGGTTAAATGTAATATTTTTATGAGGATGTCTAGGTTTGTCTTGGTTACTTTTCTCTAGTTGTTGGGACAAATTACCTGACAACCCAAATTAAGGAAGGAAAGGTATATTTAGCTTACAGTCTGCGGAGGTTTCAGTCCATACAGAGTGGCACATGGCAGAGGGCAAAAGTTCATGGTAGTAAAGATAACAACAGCAGCAAGAGCAAAAGGGAGGAGTGGTGGCATGCAGCCTCTTTCCCTTCCTTACATAAACAAACTATCTGCCCCAGGGCGGGTGTAGCTCTCACTCCCATAATCCTAGCATGGACCATGGATCAATCGTAAACTCTAAAAGCCCATCCCATGACTGCATGAGGATTTGGGGGGACATGCAGACATAAACCATAACAAGGTTCAAACTAAGAAGTCATAAATATATGTTCTTTCATAATTTGTATACTTATATACTTTACCCACATTTTCACATACTTGAGTTCAGATGAGATTTTAATATTAGACATTCAATTTGTAAATTAGCATCAAAAAGTAGCCTAGGTTTATACTTTCATGTCTTGATAAAACTTATTAATCTTCCATAATCATAACAAGAGTATGGAAAACTTAAGCAAACATCTATCTTAAGTGATGCATATCATCACACTTTTATAGTCCCATAGCAAAATATTATGCAAATAAATGAACAAGTATGCAAATGAATGAATGAATAGAGTATAATTTAGAAACAACGGAATTCAGAGTTTTGCACCCTGTGGACACAGCTTAATTCCTTTTGAAGTGAATCTAATTTTTAAATTTTTTTCTGTGCAATAGATCTTGTTACTAATTTTGAAGGGGAATATTTAGTTCATCAATAACATCAAATAGTATACTAAATAATTCTAATTCTACCCAGTAAAAAAACCACATCTTTCTTTAAGAATAGGTATGATTTTAAATATGACAAGAGGAAAACTCTAAAAGAAAGTCCCTCAAATTTAAAGTGAATTTAGAACTTCTTATTTTCAGGAAGGATTTTTGTAGTCATGTTATATAGTACATTTTTCAAAAGTAGTCCAGATTTTTAAATTTTTTAGTAATTGTCATAGTTTGGAAGATCAGACTCAGATCAGACTTTTATGGTGTTGTACAAGACTGTGAGGATTTTTCACAGTTTACAAAATAAATATATCCCCAATTTGTCTTGCCTTCATTCTGTTTCCATAGTGAAGTTGCTGAGGGTATATACATACAATGTTTTACTTTTCTTTTTTATCTTAAAAGTGCCCAAGACAATGTCAAGTATTCACTGTAGACTTACTGATTTTAAAATTTCTACACAGTCAGGCAGAAAAAAAAAAATCACTTTTTTAAAATTTTGGGATTGTCAAAACCTCTTGGGATTTATAGTCTGCTAATCCCTATTACAACAAATATAAATGAAGTTACTGGATAAAAAATAAAATTTAAATGTTATATAATACAGACCTCTATATTTAAAGATAATGAAATAAATTAAAGTGAATTTAGGTGCTTTGAGTTCTAGCCCCCCCACAAAGAAAAACCCTATTTATGGTGTGATCTAAAATAATCTTGTTGATGCTGGTGATAAACATCAGGAAACATACATTAAAGCATAGCTTATATAATCCAAGAAATGGTAAGAAGTATGTGTAACTAGAGGATTACATATTCTCTCCATGCAGATAGTGTTTTAAAAGAAGGGCAGAAGAACAGATTAACCAGAAGAGACTCTTGTGCATGCCTGACCTTGACTATTTCAATGGGATTATTTCTCAGTGAGAAGGCAAGCTGGTAGGTTACCATTGTATAATGCCTTCTACATTTCAAACTCGCTTTGCTTTCTGCTTATGCCCAACAAACAATTAGATACGTGCCTTGAAAATGATGACTCATAACAACGGCTAACGGCTAACATTTATAGAGCTTTCACTGAGGTCAAGACTATGTTATGGACACTGATGTCAACCTAAGTGCTTTCAAAACTCTTACACCACAAAAAGATCCAAGATTTATCTAGGTTATTCACTGCGGAGTAAGAGAAAGTACATAAATTATTGACAAGAGGATTAAGTACTTTTTTTTTTCTCAAAGTGACCCAGTAAAAGTTGAGTGGCAAAGCAGGATCCAAGACCTAAGTCCCTGATTCTGGTTTTCTGTACCAAAATTTGTCCTTTTGTTCTATGACAGTGTCACAGAGAACACAGCTGGGTGGAGGGCAGTGTGATCAGAAGGTAGTTAGGTTCCTTCTCTCCCATTTCAGTTAGAGCTATTTTATGTTATGGTTTGTTGATTGTGTCCTAAGTAACACATCATAAATTGTTTCAGTTTTTAAAATGCTGGGAAGTTATTGAACACTTTATTATTTGAAGGAAGTACCATACTGAAATTTTGAATTGCAATACTTTTTTGTAGTGCTAAAGATTGAACCCAGGACCACATGTACGCTAGGCAAGTGCTTTACCACTAAGCTGTACCTTGAGTTTCATAATACTTCTTTAAAGTAAATTTTGTTACTGGTTCAGACATTAAAATTGTATCTTGGGATTTATTCTGTGTTCATTTTTTTTCCAGTTCTGGAGGTTAAACTTAGTGCATTTACTCTGAGCTACAACACTATCCTTTTTTCCATAGCTTTGTTCAATTTTTGAGACAAGTCCTTGCTAAGATGCTACGTTGCCCATGTTGGGCTTAACTTGCAATCTTCCTGCCTCAATTTCCCAGATTACTGGGATTTTACGGGTATGCACCACCACACCTGGCTTGTGTTCATTTTAATGAACCTATTCATTGTTGATTTGGGAGTAAGGATTGGTGTACGGAAGGACAGACCATGTAGTGGTGCTGGAAATTTTACCCTTTCTTTATATTAGATATGACTTCTTTGGAGGCATAAAAGGTTCATTAGAAGATGAGATCTTTTTGTCTGGGTAGAGATTTGGGAAGCTGGATGTTATCACTCAGAAGTTCACCTTCTATCCAATAAGTGAAAAGTCTAACCCTACTCAGATCTTAGTCGAGTGTTTTTCTTTTTCTTTCTTTTTTTTTTTTTTTAGAAAAAGTTGCAAGCAACTCACTTGAAATGGTAACTTGTACTTACTAATACATGCTGACTGGAATGGTCCATCTCTCTTCCAGGGAAACAGGCAAGTGCTGAAGCACTCCATAAAAGGAACCAGAATTAATAATGGCAGGATGCTGATGGCATTCATTACTGCAATTGGCAGAAGAAATCCATCCAAATTGAGGTTGGAATTCATGGTTTGCAGATAATATCCTGAAGGAATCTGCATTCAGGGGAGGAAGCAGCCACACAATCAAAGACAGTGGTTTAACTTTGAAGTACGTACACTCTGTTAGATGCACTGTCCCTTGTGTGTACCCTGTGACAGAGAGAAGCGGGATGTTGCCCAGTTATTCAAGGTCACAATTTTGAGTTGATAAAGGGTCTTTAACAATAAGAGCCCTGTTTAGTGTACTGACAATACTACTATTTCCCTATGGAGGATTCTTGTCATTTAGTTTATCTTAATTTTCCCTTGAAGAGTATTAGTGGACTTTTATGCTTAGGATGACACAAATCAAATCACTTCTCATGTAAGCAAAATGATTTCATGAACATTAAAGCAGAAAAGAATGGAAATATAATAAAGATGCCTATTTTCACCCTGTTAGAATAAAATGAGAACTAGAATAGATCTTTTAAATAACATCTAGTTTGGTAGTAAAATAGGTAGGAACACTACTTTTTCCTAAGAGGGTGGAGCAATATAGATATACAGTACTTGTCATAGACTGTCTTTCTGGGATCCCTGGATTGGCCTTGCTTTGAATGTGAGCCAAATTGAGAAAAAGAGAGGTAAAACCTTGCTGTGTTTGTGGCTGACTGTAAACTAACTGTGTGGTGTGAGTGGGTTACAAAGGGAGCTCCATGGAAAAGGTCTGCATAAAAGATCAAACAACAGATAAGAAAATTCTAATTCATGAGTTTTGATACAATCATCCCATTATCATTGACGTCATTAGTTCATAGTGATAAGACAAGAGAGACTCCATTTGCTGTTTTTAACTCCATATTAAGGGAAGTCACTTAAAGTTCACTTAAGCTACAGTTCACCCCAGTCACCTCGGTTAGTTATCAACTCAGAGCACAGAAGAGTCATGAAACGGGAACAGAACAAACAGGACAAATTGGGAAGCGGGCTAAAAGTTAAACCGCAATTGTCATTTGGAATTTGGTTGTCTGACCTTCTGGGAGAAGTAAACTTTGTGATAATTGTGTGACATTCTTGTGAGAGTCCCAAAAATGAAGTCATGCTTACTATGGAAACCTAAAATGTACCGAAACTGAAGGTGAGACTCAGATAGGCGTGGACATCTTTTCTGGCTCCTTGTTAGAGATTGTCCATCAGTCGGCTCCAATAAAGTTTTGTTTGTTCCTGCCTTTTTGGTTTTCATGTGAGTGCCTTTCTCAATGAACTTGCTTGCTGTATCAACAGCAGATATTTTTTTTTTGTAGTGGGGAGCATTACTGGGAAATCTAGGGCCTCTTACACTGAGCTACATCTCCAGCCCTTTTATTTTTTTATTTTGAAATAGTTTTGCTAAGCCACTAAATTGCTCAAGTTGTGCTTGAATTATGATCCTTCTGACTTGATCACCCGTAGTACTGAGATTGCAGGCATGTACTATCCTGCCTGGTTGAGCATCTATATCTTTAATTCCTAGTGACACACAAAGCTATTGAATGGCAGGGAGTTTTCCTCTCTCGTTTGGCCAACCATGTCTGTCTTTGTGGAGTGAATTGTCCATACTATTTTCCTTACAGTGCAAGAATTACACTTATTAAGCCTGGGGGAGCAGTCCTGCTTAAACATCAAATCATAACTTTTGATTTGAAGCCTTTATGAATTCCTTGCATCTCTAATCAATGGGACACTTTGAAGGGTGGAAGGAAAATCAGAATCACAGGGTTAGGTCTGCTATTCAAAGTTCATGAATTGTAAAATGAGTCTATTGTTAACTTCCCAGGCATGGAATAGGACGACCATTTTACTAATCATTTTTTAAAATCTACATAAGATTTGTCCTGGTGATAATTTATCTCCCAATTTTAATTTGTCCTAAGGCTAATAAACAAGAATTGTTTTAGTTGAGTAGATAGCCACAGTGAAGGGAATATTAGCTAGTTCTGTGCTACTTCAATAAAATTATTAAGCACATATCTCCCCATCAGAGGGAAATGAATGATGTATTTTTTTTTTTAAAGTGTTGACACCAGAACAACTTGAAGACTGAAAGGCTCCTAGCACAACTGGGAAGCTTCTGCTACTGATTTCAAATGAGAATTATTGTTAATAGGAATAAAGTTATTATCAGCATGAATCACACACAGAAACCTGTTAACTTAATAATGTGGCAAATGTACTATTAATCTTTAGTGAAGCAATATTAATATATTGCCTAATCTACAAAAAGGCTCCAGTGTCTTGAAAGCTTGAAATCATTTCTGTTTCCGCCTCAAGTTCTGAAATCATCCCCTCTTAAAATTTTAAATACTTTTATTTCATACAAGCCTCTGAGGATTAAGAAATAATTGCTGTCAATAGAGATTCATTTTCACTTTTGAGTGGCCAGTAATGTCAAATGACAACCCCATCGACCTTAATATCAACATATTTTAAATGTATGCCTTGGAATTGAAGGTCAATAATGGCTACTAAATTTAAAATATGGAATTTTATGATGCTTTATTCTTAGTACTTTTATTGCCTTTGTACTGGTGATTATTTTTCTGGAGGCAAAATCTAGCCTCAGCCTGTTCTAGTGGACATTTCCTCTGACTCCCTGGAAAAGTATGATCTAACATTTGCTTTGAAGTTTCTAGCATAAGAGTACTGTATATAATTTTGGAACCTATGTCATTTGTATTGGGGATTTTTAACCCAGTACCAGTGAGACATTGTGCATAATAGCAAAACAAGAGCTTTGAATCCATCCCTAAGTTAGGATAACTGTTCTGCTATACACTAACAAGTTATATGTTATCTATTGTCACTGAGCCTCAGATTTATTTTACTAATATCAGTAGGCTGGCTGTGGGGATTAAGTTAGATGCTAACAAGCTGTCTTTTAGAAGCTAGGACACATAATAGGTGGTCAATGAATATTAGTGTTTGTTCCGTGCAATATACTGGATAACTGGATCTGGTAAAATGCGCAAAAAAATAGTTTTACAGAATTTTTGCATTTCATTCAAATGAAAAACACCATAATTTACAGAGAAAGTTCAAACTTAGAAGAAAGAATGACTACTTATTACTGCATTAGAAAGATAAGGAATTAGTAACTTGTGCAATTTGCAATGAAGGTTTTGAGGCAAGTTAAGGATCACGGTAGTTTTGTACCCATTAACTTTTCCATTAGAAGATGGTTTTATTATATTAATGCTCAGATGTATGGGTAATATTTATACTGTATTCTGCTTTTGTGCCTGCTCCTATTAGAAGAGGGAGAAGGCTGGATCTCCTGAATCAGGCTAGTTCTCTTGCATTGTTTAGACCAAGGGTCAGCAACATTTTCAATGAAGGACCAGATGGTAAGTCTGTCCACATGTGGGTTCTTTGGCAGTTGTTCAATTCTGCTGTATTTGTGCATAAATGTAAAAAGATCTACCAACTCAACGAATGTGGCAATGTTTAGATAAAACTTTATTTATGGGTACTGAAATTTAAATTGCATATAATTTTCATGTGCCATAAAATATTCTTTTGATTTTTTTCCAACTACCTAAAAATATACAGTCCTTTTTAGCTTGCAGATATACAGAAGTAAGCCATGGGCTGAATTTGGGCTGGAGGCAATAGTGTGCTACACAAGAGCACAAGAGCAGTCATTGTTCTGAGAGTTAGAGGGCCTGTACTGTTTTTCCTTTCACTACTATTAACTGTGACTTGCCATCCCACTCCCCTCAAAAATCAATTATTATGAGCCCTCTCACTCTTTAACAAATGAAGTTGTTACTAAGTTAACCCTTAAATTTTTTGCAGCTTTTTTATTCTATGATGACTGAGCTCACTCACTAGCCTTCTAAATTCCAAGTTGGGAGTTAGCCATGAAGAAAGTCCCAAGTTTGTTCAAAGCCTTTCATAAACATCTATTTTTTCATATAAATAGCTTATATTTTGACCATAGTTACATTAAAGCAGTTAAAAATCATATATGTCCATAAGAGATACTTTGAGCTCAGCATAAGCCTGATTCCCCAAGGAATTAACAGAGTGGGTGGGAGACAATCACTTGCTCATTAGTACTTATATCTAACTATATGGTGGAGGTGTTACTCAAATCAGGCAGTTGAGCTACTTGTTAGTACCACTTTTCAAAGATTTAATGAAGGAGGAAAGCAGCACCTTTGGCTAAAAGATGGGTTGGTAACTGCCTGTAGATCTAGTATTTTCACATACTGTTCTCTGCTTATAATGGTGCATTCTGAAATATTATGGATGTCTACCATCAGACGTCTACAATCCTACAAAAGCAGAACCTGTCCAGGGGTCCCCTCAGTTGTATCTCTGCCTGACTCTGCTTGGTTTTTAAAATCAGAGCCTGTAAGGATAAGAAGCCTTTGTGGAGTGTGTGTTTGGGTGGAAGGTAGGATCTACTTATAAAATTAGCAGGCGATTACTTTACTGTTTGGGGATGGTATTTGATGCCATTCCTTACCTGCATAACACATGTTCTGTATAGGATTTGAAAAATGAAGAAGGGGAGAAGGGTGAAGAAAAATTTTGTGTCTTCTACATGGGGCTCACTGTAGCAGCCACCATTTTTCTTCTTGGCATGGTCTAACCAGCTTGTCATACTTCTGCCCAAATGGCAACTCAGGCAACATGTTTTCAGTGCATTAACAAACACTCCAAATGTTATCAGGGGGGAGGAATCTGAAAATAATTGGAGATATTATATATTAGAATAAGAATTGCTCTTTAGTTTTCCTGGATATTAATCAGATGACACCTGCAAGACTGAAGGGCAATACAGTGACTAACTAGGTTTTAGCACCCAAGGGGTTGAATTCAAAGGAACAAGCTTCTGACAAGGATTCTGGCATCATGATGACCAGCCCAGGGTGGTGCCTGACAGCTGATATAAAAAATGAAAAAGATAAGATCAATGGAAACATATTAAAAAGGAAAGAAAGGTGCCAAAAACCACCAAAGTAAAGGATTTCAATATCTTTCAGAAGTCTCTAACTTAAACTCTTTAATGAATAAGACAACTTGAACTTTCTTTTACATCCTTTACACAAAAAGCCAGGACAATTTTTTAAATATAAATCATTATATAAATAATCTTCACCTGGCAGGTAGAAGGCGGTTTCTTATTTTGACACAGAGATGAAGGGAGGTGTATTGTTCTCTTTGACTTTATCCTTGATTTTCAGACATAAGGTTAAACTTTGAACTCTTTAAAGACTTTATGAATGTTGATAGCATTAGTAAAAGTTCAGATTGGATTAGCTGGCTTTTGACTTTTCCAGTAGTTTCCTCCGGGTTTATATGGCTGCCACTTTGACACTAGAAACATTTTATTTCCTTGGCTGTTCATGGTCACTTGCTGCTAGTGATTTGTAACCTCATTGTTTCTTCCTTTATGATCTTTCAGATGCCACTTTTTCTTTGACTCCATTAGGACTTCCCGATACCATGACAGATAGGAGACCCGCACACAGTTAGCAGTTCAGCTGTGCCATTGTGGTTGTTCTACTTTTTTCTAGAACTCCTTTTGACCACATGAATCCCTTCACAAATTATGTAAACACTAAACTCCACAGGATAAATGGCATAATAAAGGCAAAAAGCATTTGGTTTTCTCTGAAGAAGCCTATGATAGGCACTCAAAATATAGTTTGATTGTCATCTTGACTGTGTTCAACTTTCTGGTAATGCAATTCTAGATAAAGCACATTCTAAACAAATTCAATTGAGTGCCACAGAACATTGGTGCTTGGATTTAAATAAAGAATATTTATAACGTTTCTTTTTATGGTTAGGAAGCTGGTTGTATTGATTGGATCTGGTCTTTCTTTGAAGTGTCATAGTAGACTCATTATGTCATCCTTTGATTAATTGAGGAAGCTGGGGCCCTGGTAATTGAATATGGAGCCTTTCACCTCTAAGTCACTGAATCAAATCCAGCCCAAATTGATAGTGACCAAGAGTGATTACACTTGGGGCTTTTTGGTGGCCTTTGCGAAGTATGTTCAGGTCATGTGGAAGGATATTGGGATAATTGCTGGCAGGAGGTACACACATATCTATAGTGATCATCGCTTCTTCTCAGTCACCATTACCAGACATAGATGAAAGTCCAGGGACTAATAAGACCAAGAGGACAGAAGCACCTGTGTGTGGCCAAGATTTGTGTCCCTTAGAAAAGGAATACTAGGGACTCCTTGTTATCACTGCCAAAAGAATTCCTCTATCATTGGACTTTCTTTGCTTTTCTCAATTAGTTTACTTAAGGTTTAAGCAAGATGAAACTGGGGAATTGTGTTGATGAACAATTTAGAGGCTACATTTGACCGGGTCTGGGCTAGAAGACTTAAGTATTTGACATTTCCTTACAATCTTGTCTTTGTTGTTCCCTGCTCAGCTCTTACCAAACAAGGTATGGATAGTAGGATTATTATTAGCACTGGTGCTAGTTACTCTGTGCTTTCAAATAGGCTTTATTATTAGAGGACAATATTTGGAGTAAGAAAGACTATATTTAAAGATATTTTCCCCATTTTTTACCCCTCCATTTTTTAAAATCCCAGAACTTGTATTGAATATATTTTGCACACACAATCTCTTGTTTTGTATTAAAAATCACTATTTTTTATGAGATAAATTTGGGTCTACTCCTAATCCATGCTAATATTATTAAATAAGTCAGTGTTATCATATTATTCTATAGAGGGATAATTTAGATTGGTGCATCTCAAAACTGTGCTGAAATGAGTTTTTCAAAATATCTCCAGTATTGCAGTCAGTATGTTTGTGAGATACAATAAAAATAAAATATTTAAAAAATAAAATAAAGATATAAAACTATAAGCACTGATGTTTTTACTAGTGATAAACTGACATTTAAATATTTAAATAAAAGGGTTAAATATTTAAATATAACCTTACATTTAAATATAAGGTTAGATATAAGCACTGATGTTTTCATTAAGTATAAAACTATATTTTATATTAATAAAATTTATTTATTTATTGTTATTTTTTATTTTAAAAGCAAAAGAATAAAAACATATTTATAACAAACAGACAACTATTTACCAAGTAGTACAAGAATAGTACAAGCAATACTGAATTACAGACAAGGTGACAGGGAATTAACAATGGTTGTTGTATCACATATTGACAACTTCAGAGTGGTTTCTCAGGAAAACATATATAAACATGCAGGATTGGTCAAATAATTAATCATGAACTGTTCCTTTCAATAAAGTGATATCTAAATTGTGGAAGCAACTCAAATGTCCATCCACTGAGGATAGGATAAAAAATTGAAATATTTTCATTAATATGTCTATTAAACAGACTTAAAATGTGCCTTTACATAAATATTTCTCTACATCATTTTTTTCTAGGATCTATATTTATTTTGTTACTACTAAAAACAGTTCACAGATCAGCACTCCCCTGTGGACCAGCCTTTGTGTAGTACTGTCATCAGCTGAATATACACTTGAAAAGATAAAGTTATTTGAACAAAATTTATCTGATACAGTGGTATGAAGCTGTGAAAATGAAGTGGTGAAGATACAGGAAATGATTAAGTATGAATGGGTTCTAAAACTCCAGCTAGCCCGGCAAATACACATAATTGATGACAAAGAAATGTGAATGTAATCATTCATTCATTTATTCATTCATCCTTCACAATATTTATTGAATATCTCCCATAAGCCAAAGGCTGCTCTAGATTCTGAGATTACAGCAAAGAACAAAATCCACAAACTCCTAAGTGTTCTTTGTGGTTGAGGGGTACTACAAGCAGGAAAATATCTATGATGAAGACGAAATGACCTTAAATGATAGAGACGTATGGGGAATGTGATATTTGAACTGAGGGCTGAATGATTAAAAATAGGTAAGAAGACTTGGGGGAGACATATGCCAAGAATATCTGGAAGTAGAAATTAGCTAGTAGAGGCTCAGGAAGAGGAAACATCAATGAGGTAGTAGCTCAATGGGAAAACTGGAGAGAGGACGAGGCCTAAGAGGTAGTCAGGAGTCAAACGTTCAGATCAAAGTCAGGAGCTTTAAGTTTATCTGCAGTATTATGGAAAATGATTAAAAGTTGTGGAAAGAATAGAGACATCATATCCTGTATATTTGTTAAAAGTTCTTCTAGTATCCTAGTAGTGTGAGGATGTTGGGGGATAACTGAGGAAACTGGGGGACATGCAAGAGATAGTGGTGACATAATAGTGTGTTGTGCCAGTTAATGCTGATTGTTAATGTGACTGGGTTAAGAGACCCTTGGAGAGAGAATTGGATCGTGAGGGCACAAACTCCATGAGTGGGTAACCCATTCATGAGTTCATAGCTGAATAGGCTATTAGAAGGTAAGGCCTAGTTGGAGAAGGTAGATCATCAAGGAGTGACCCTAGGACCTCTGTTTGGCATCTGGCCTCTTCCTCTCTGGTTCTTTCCAATCTGTTTTGCTTCCCAACTGGTATGAAGGGAGCAGCTCTGCTCCACTGTAATGTTCTGCCTTGATGTCCCTGCCTTGAGTCAGCTAACCATGGACTGAAACCTCTGAAACCATGAGCCAAAATAAACCTCTCCTGCTTTAAGTTGTAGTGTCGGGCATTTTGTTCCAGCAACAGGAAAGCTAACTAGTACAAATATGTTTTTTTTAAAAAAATCAATGGAATTTTACAATGTGGGAAGAGAATAAAGACATGAGAATATTTGAAGACAACTACATTTTCTCCTCTTACACAGCTGGGTGGTAGTGATTTACTGAGAAAGATAAAACAGCAATGAAGCCAGTTTACAGTAATGAATAAGGAGTTGAGGTTTGGTCAGGTTAAGCTTCAGACATTATTATATAACTAAGTTAAACTGTCAAACAAAAGGTAGAATATATGCCTCCCAACGTGATGAGAGATGCCAATGTAAAACTGAGTATTTATGTAGATGGTTAGTGGGAGAGGGTGGTCAAAGAAGAGAGGGGCTGAATGCTTGGTTTCCATATCAGTTAGGAAATTATCAAAGGAGAAAAGTGAGTGAGGTGACTGAGAAGACATAGACAATGTGCTACAGTGGTTGAAAGAGAAGAGGAGGGCTGGGGATATAGCTCAGTGGCACAGGGCCTGCCTAGCAAGCCTCAGGTCATGAGTTCGATCCCCAGTACCACAAAAAAAAAAAAAAAAAAAAAAAGAAAGAGAAGAGAAAAGCAGTGAAGTAACAAATTTAAATTGATTGGCTAGAAAGAGAGCAAGCTAATAAGCTATAGAGGATGCAAGTGGAGACATTTTAAGGAAAATGGATGCACCTGGAGATCATAATTTTAAGTGAAATACATCATGCACACGTTTGTTTTTATCTTTATTTTTATTTTTTATGTTGAGACAAGGTCTCTCTATGTAGTAAAGGCCATTTTTGAACTTGCTACAAAGCCCAGGCTGGACTCAAACTCACAGTGATCCTCCTGCCTCAGCCTCCTGCGTGCTTAAATTACAGGCATGCGCCATCACGCCTGACACACACAGGAGTTTAATTATCACATTGTTTTCTAATATGAGAAACCCAAAGTATAAGGAGCAAAAAAAGATAGATAATAAGTAGGAAAGTCTTTTTCAAATGGGAAGGAGAACAAGAAATGGAGGCAGGGTGAGGGAAGGGGAAAGGGATTTTAAAAATTTGAAGAAAAAATG